CAAGGTTAATAGGGCTGGAGAAATGGGCTGTCACCCAGCACCTGCTCCTGAAAGGCCCCATTTCTTCCCTAATTGCAACTCAAAATCAAATTAGCAGTTTTAAATGTACTCTGTGCCCAAAAGGTACCGCGGGGAGTGGGGAGGACACACTACCCTTTGTCCTTATGTAATAAAAAGGGCAAATTCCTGCTTTGAGGGCAAATTTGCAGCCACCTCTGCTCTGGCTGCCCCACTGTTTCCATGTCTTTGGGGCTCTACAGATGGAGATGCTCATCCTGGATTTGGGGCTTCCCCAAGCAGCCACATCAGTGGGCTCACTGGGGGGATGCCGTGATGACTGGGAGTCTCTGCAACTGCTGCCAGGGCTGCATGTGCCCCTCCTCGCGCCAAGGATGGTCAGCTGGGTCACGGCTGCGGTGTCCTCGGGGCCAGGGATGGCACCGGCTGCATTATTGATGCTGTAACTCAGCACCCATGGACTGGGGCAAGGTTTCGTTTTCCAGGGATAAAAACACTCCCGAGAGGGGATCTGACAGTCGAGGACAAGGGATCCCCAGCCACTGCACCCTACCCCCCCCAGGGTGGGGGCTGCCCCATGGGCTCAACCATGAGGGACGTGCAGGTGCTTTGGCAGCAGCCGCTCCGTAGTGGCCCATAGCAGAGGGCAGACAGCCGCAGGTCCCAGAGAAAGGAAATTCGGGGGCTGGCATTGGGCCAGCGGGGCTGTGTGTTCACAGAAAGCCTCAGTGTGCACACACAAGCACCCTCCGCTGTGCACGTGTGCACACACCAGCCTGCGTGCAGAGCTCGCGCTCCAGGGAACCACGCTGCTCGGAAATGTCCATTTGCTTCTGCTGCAGACTTCTGCCTCTCCCAGCAGGAGGGTGGCCATCACTGTGACCTCGGGGTCCATGGCAGTGGGTGCTCCCCACCCATGCCATTTGGCGGTGCTGGCGGGTGCACACCAGGCCCCAGGGCAGTCCCTGCTGGGACAGAGGTCGTGAGCATGGCGGGGCCTGTAGACGCAGCTGCCTCACTGGAGCAGGGTGGGGAGAGCCCAGCACTTGCCCATGTCCCTGCTCAGCTCCCTTCACTTCGGGTGCCACCTGGGCCAGGCTGGTAAATCCTCCCCCCAGTATACCACGTCACCTGGGGGGAGAATGGGACATCCAAAAGGTGTTTAAGAGCCTTTGGTGTGTCTGGAGACCACGTACCAAGGTGGGCAGGGTCCCCCCACGGGGCAGCTGACAGTGACCAGCCACATGGGATGACACAACCACACCAGAGCCCAGAGCTGGGCCGGAGGAGGAGGTGTCAGTCCAGGGAAAAGCCCTTCCTCTGGGTATCTCCCCCTCAGCCTGCCCCACCACACACCGAGCTGGTGTGCAGCTCCTGCCCGCAGCGATGCTCCCTGAGACACCAGCTGACTGTTCGTTCCAATATAATCTTTATTGGGGAGACTGATGGGGTTAGAACAAGGCCGGGTATAAAACATGATCATCGTCACAACCAGCAGCGGGAGGCATTGGCAGAGCAACACAGAAACGGTATCGGCTCCC